TGTGTATGTGATTGTTGTTTTTTTTATCATCTGTCTACTAGTTTTGGGAGAGACAGCTTTTGTTTTTGTTGCTTTTTTTTCCTTCTTCCTATTTTTTTATTATGTTGTTTGTGCTGTTGTCCGGTGCTATCTCATCGCGTATATCTCACATCCCCTTTTATTCATACATATTTATTCTATGTTTAATGAAGTAGTAATATAGTGCAGTTGCTGCCGGTTTTTATTTTGAAAGCTACCGAACAACAACAAAAACAACAACAAAAAACCTTAAAAAAACACAAAATAAACCAAAATATGTACTAATCATACAAATTTCAACAGTATCAAGAAGCTCCCTCGTTGACTGAAACATTTTCTGGTGTTGTATATACAATATGATGGCGTATTGGTTTTGTTATTATTTTCACGCGTTAATATTCTCTGGCTTACAAATACTTCTGTCTGTGTTTTCTGTTTCTTTTATGGTAACTCACTGAAAATCTCAGTGATGATTGATTTGCATCAATCATTTTTATATATTCGTCATAATATTTGACAGAAAACCCGTTATAAATCAATACCCAAAAGCCCTATCGACTCTATGGCCATATTTAATGTCGATTTTAAAATCCCTACACAAACAACAGAGCATTATGTTCGGTTTCCGAATTGCAGTATAGTTAATTCTAGATACGTTATAATCTTGGCAATAATGATATGACCATGTTGGAAAGGGATTTTTCTTAAATGATAAATGTATTTACTTCAAATTAAAGTTTTTGCAGGTGTTCTGTTTTTAAACGATTACTTGGTCCGATCAGCTGGATACCATATTGTATTGATAAAATAATGAGTAATAGGTCATTTATGTGGAATACTCTAACCCGTCAAAATATGTCAGAAATGCCGATACGTTATGTGACAAATTTTGACAAAGTTCAGCGAGGTTAACGCCATTGTTTTTCAAATAATAATTTCCTAGACAACGAACCGTTAGTAAATTCTTCATATTGAAAGTAGAGACAACATATAATTACGAAACTTCACTCGGGGTCTCTTCATAAAGAACGTGACAGGAAGTTATTATTTTAACTGAAGCTATAGTAACATTGCTCACAAAATCTAGCCATAAGCATATAAACCCAATTATAGTTACCGAATTTGTCTTTATGTTCTATACAAATTGTTATCTGTGAAATCAGTTGTTTCAAATTTACACAATCTACAGCTTTAAAAAAAAAATTTAAAACAACACTTTATAAATTGCATGCGTCCGAAGCGTATTTCTGTATTTACCTTCATCAGGAACGCTCAAAGCGAATATTTGAAAGTTAAGGATGTATTAGAACCTGAATTAGTTGAAGAGCTTTATGACAAAAAGGACCCCAAAAATATCCAAATTCATCTAAGATCAACATTTCCTGAGGGAGTTGAAACCTTAGTTTCACTATAATTTCTAAATTCATAACCAGACAATTTTAGAAAGGTGTACACAATAGTCAAACCTATATAAACTGTGTAAAAAACAATCCATTGTACTTTTACTCGGGAATATGGTATATAAACTACACCCCCTGAACCTACGATTATGGAATTATACATAAATTAAACTTAAATTGACATTGCTGCAAAAAAATGAACATGACAGAAGATGAAGTAAACCCTGCCTGCTGCCACAAGTTATGAAACAAGTTGGGTCACAAATCAATTGACTTGGCATTTTTTTATAATTTATTTTTGAATGAAAACAAGCAGCGTTAACGACAAAAAAAAACTTGTTTATAAAAGCTTCATGAATTGTTGTTGTGATTTCAACTATTGTGTGATATAGTGCATGGTCACTTTTGGGAAGTCTCGTTTCTATGCACTCACTTTAAACCTTTTTTAAACAGGGAAAATACAGACATTCAATTAAAAATTTAATAAGATTAAACATTTAATCGACATTTAATCGACATCTATCAAGGAATCCCCTTTTCAACCGGTGCTAAAGAATCGTCTTGAATTTGCAGTAAGATTTGAGCTTTTCTCCGTACATGAATTAAAGGCATCACTGTGATATTTTTGAGTTAAAGAACTTTTATACGCCGTTTCTTTTGCTTTAGGTTTGACAAATGCATCATTTTATTTTCTTTCTGTTGTTATTTACTTCGGCAAATAAGTTCAGAGTGCTTGACTCTAATTCGGGATACTATTAGGGACCAATGTTTATCTTAGTCAGGTCATGGAAGTATAATATTGACCATACGTTTTCCATTGTCAGCCAAAGAGCAAAGACAGAAAGCTTGATTTCTAAAAACAGCTCTGTGAGCAGATGGTCCAGTAGACATACTTAGACATGTAGACTTATAACATACTTAGTAAGTGTGCGCGCTCAGTGCCGAAACTTTCTAATAGGCAAATTAAAGACAACAACAAAATCCAAAACAAAAACAACAAAAAAGATCTGCAGGTTATCGTGTATTTTGAAATAATTGAAACATTTATATACATGTATTTATGTAACGTTAAATTATTAATATTATTATAAAACCTAGATCGACTTTCATTTTTTTCTTGTTTTCTAAAATATAATTTGGATCTAGTTCAGCTTAGTTAATTCTCAACCGAAAACAAGGTTGTAATAGCTACGGGTTTATATTAATAAATTCTACATGTACTAGAACAACACCGTTTTAATTATGCCTTCCTGAATGTATATGAATGGACTGTGCAGATTATTGTAAACAAAATTTGCTTCAAGTTTCAAATTTTATTTTGTATACCATATAATTTTAAAAATGTATTTCTAGTTTTTAATTTAAAAAAGATGTTTTGTTATTTATAATGTAGAAAGTATTCCTAGTAGAAATATAGAACACAGAGGACCTCAGCCATGTAAGCTTTACTTCAAAAGTATTAAGATTTCTAATTTTGACAGCTTTACAACTAAATAATGAGATAATAATAGACTATTTTCTGTTTGCTCTTGTTTTGTAATTCAAAATTGCAAAGCCAAAACTAAAAGAAATAAAAAATTAAAATTAATATAATAAAAATAATAATAATAATGAAAAAAAGAAAATAAATAAAACAGCTGAAAATAAGATGAAATTAAAAAAAAATCCATAAAAATATTAAAAATTTATAGTAAACGTTTAAACTTATATTATTCACTCAAAGTGAAATTGGTGAGACACAAGTAAACCTTGGGCATATAGTCTTCTCCATATATAATCCTGAAATTTCATCTTCGGTTTTTACACAAATAAACAGCACCGGCGGACAAAAAGAGAACATAAAATAAATTAAGGTTCTTGTACCTTAATTCTTTGAATTCTATGCAGCACGTTACTATAGTTTCAGTACTTATATATGTACGTTTTATAACAAAACTAAAAACTCGTGCACATGGACCACTTCCTATAGTTTAGTTTTTACATGAATAATTACCATACAGAACAAAATTCTCTATGTAATCAAGTTCTGTGTACTATAAAACTTGCATTTCATGCTTTCTTCCTCCTATGTGCAAAAATGTGTACGAATTTGATATAGCAGTAAAATATTTATTAAATTTATAACTAAGTTTTAAAAATCTTTAAATATACTTTGAATTTTCCATTCAATTTTTTTTTTTCTTAAACATTGCAAACTATGCTGTTTATTCAACAAATGCTTATATTTGTAAATGAATAAATATAGGCAATATATAAATCGCTGACTTTTGATTTTAATTCGTACTTTATGACGCTTTAATTCTGATCTTCAGAATATTAAGTATTATTTGTATTTTTATGGACTTTCAGATTTTACCCCCTTGAAAAAGAGATAATGTGGTTTAAAGGAGTTTAAATGGTAAACAGTGGGTACAAATTAAACCTTTCAAACGAATACTTTTATGTTTATAAACATATAAAAGAATGTTTACTTTTATTTCTCAATAAGCAAAAAATAGCAAAGGACTTCATTTGCGGGGATGCCGTGATATAGGACGTGCAGAAAAATATCCCAAGTTGATTAATATAATTTAACTTTTAAAGATGTTCTTATCTTTTTGTAATCCTTGATAATTTAGTTAATTGTTGCACCAAAATCCTGTAATTAATAATTTTTAAAAATACTACAATCTTATTCAATAAAAAAATGCATATTTCTAATTTATAAAATGAATATCACACAACTAATTATTTTATTTTGCCGACTGTTTTATAAGTAATGCATATTTTAATATTTCATTGACCATTTTATTTATAGAAATTAAAATAACTAATTATACATTTTTTTTTATTACTGACTATATCAGTCTTATTGTAACAATTATCGGAAATTTTCTCTCAAGAGAAATTAAAAGATTTCCAAGTGTATACATGTAAGTATTTATTTTATCTATATATTTATTTGAATTATTAGATCTATCTATTTGATTGTTGTTGCTGTTGCCAATCTTGTATTCTAGTTGTATCATATCTTAAATAATTATTATAAAATTGTATATAGATTACTTAATTGTGAAAAATTGTAAATTATTATTTTTGTGGCGTCAACTGTTTCTGCTATTTTGGTGCATTGCTAACCAACATTTGAAACATTTTTTTTATTTCCAATCATTGATTTCGAAAGTCGCTGAGGTTGAAATAAATTTTTGAAATCCTCATATGATGCATACAATCAATTGTGTCTTACTATTTAGTTTTTATACACGAACTTGTGTTATGTTTTCGATCTTTATTTTAAATTGTTCCTTAAGGTAAATTGTCCTCTCGTTTTCTTGTTCGTTCAACCATTTGTTCCATATTGCAAAATTTCGATAATTGGTTGTTAATTTCATGGTCATGTAAATTTCACGTATATTTGTCGTATGATCAATTACTTGCCTAATTTTTGGCATAATTTTGTTTAATAAAAAGTATTTTAGTATTTCATTGTCATGTCTTAAGCATATTTTGTTAAAACCTTGGACATTTTATCCATTTTGGGTGATCTTATGAACAGAACCCTAACGACTCAAACAAAACAAAAGACATCTAGAGAGTACTCACCAGCATAGTCCATCATTCTTGGCATCAACATCCCACCTCTTGCAAACCATTCATTGATGTAGGGATGGATATGTTGAGCTTGTGACATTTTCAAGGCATGTTCTGCAGGACTATGGAACGCACTACCTGAAAACATTGGCATACCGTTATGACCTATTGTTGGTCCATAAAATTGATGTCCATTCATCAGTCCCTGCATTTGCAGTGCATTAGCTTGCATCATTGCTTGATGCTGATGTGAGTTTAATAATCCTGGTCTAGGAATAATGGTTGAATGTCCGCTATTGGGTGACAAACTAGATTCTGGACTGGTACACCGACTAGAGCAGTTAGATTCTGGTGAACTCTTCGTAGAATTGTCATGTTTCGTTATACTCGGTGGTGACACAGTAGTTGATTTTTCTCTCGATAATAAAGCATCAATGCTGAATGACCTGGAAGACATGTCTAAATACCAAACTGAGAAAACAACAACACTTAGAAAAATAGTATCCAAATATTTCACGCTGACTTGTTATCCAGAAAAATGACAACTATCATCATAAAAAGTTAAAGTACTTTCAACAAATATTTTATGTCCAGTTGATAATCAAACTAATTGTTCTTTTCGGTTGGGACAAGTAATTTACAATGAAGAAAAATTTATAAACATTACAAGTTATTTGGCAATCAAATTTCCGTTCATTTATCTCTATATAAATTATTAAAAAGAGGCGTGGAAACCGACACTATTTAAATATTACTAACATGAAAGTGTTGTATACAATCTCTTTAAGATATCAACTTGATAACAGATAGCCCGAGATTGGCTGATAGAGTCATTAATTATGTCCGGTAGGGACCACCATACCAGTGACAATCTGGTAGCCAACTCCAATGCTCTAATCTTAATAAACATGATATCTTATCGAAAGAGAGGGTACTATAATCGGTTTACATACGGTTTATAGATAAATTTTCTAACTTTTAAGGACTAATTATATTGGAGTTCTCCGGCCTCTATCTTTTGGTCGTAAGTTGATCCAAAATGATCTTAAACTGTATTTAATTTTTGTTTAAAAGTCATATTTCTGCATCCCTTTCCGTTTGATTTAAAATAAGATATATAGATTAAATAAATTGGGATATTAAAAAAAATATATCAAATGTGCTGAAATATTGAACCATAGATCATTTTTGTTTAAAAGTCGTATTTAACGCTTTCCTTTCTGTTTGATCCAAAATAAAATGTCTTCAAAAAATAAATTGGGATATTACAAAAAATATCAAATGTGTTGAAATGCAGCAGTTAATTTGGTTAATTTTGCGACCTTTGACCCTATTAGGAATTAATTTACCACCAATCATATAATGTTTTAATTTATTACTACTCCGATCAAGTGCATGTCGTCTGTTGGCTAATTGATATTCATTAAATTTTCCGTTTAACTTTCTTTCTTTCCGTTTTGTTCGTCATTTACGAGAATTGATCATCTTTTGACAATTTGTCAAAATATCTTTAATTATCAATTAACGATTAAGAACTTTATTGAATATAAAACTTTTAAAGCCACAGCCATTACATATTGGACAATCGGAAAACCAGTAAGAGGCACTTGAAAGTTAATCAACCACTGTGAAATCTGCCTCTAATTTTCCATAACAAGCTATAAAGTATTCATCGAATGAATGAGTATCATCTTTAAAAAATCTGTTCACTAATTTTGTGATTAATTGTGCGTTTTATTTATTTATTAATCTTATTTATTTATTATTGTGCTTCTGGTAAAACGGGTATGTTTTAAAAATTAACCTTTCGAAAACTTTATATAATCATAACATTCAAATAATTACTTATTTTTGTGTCATGCTAAATCAATTTAGAAAAACAAACTTTAAATGTTCCCTCTGTAACTTAACATTTCGAAATTAGAAACATATCATTTTAGAAATTATAAAAATTACCTCTTTTAAACTAACCCGAATGATTCAATCGTTATATTCCGCTGCTCTATACGATGGCTTCTCGCGAATGGGAGAGTCGATCACGGGAAGGGACTAAATTATTCGGGTTACTTCCAAACTGATTTATGTTAGGCGGTACGTTCTGTTCAGTTCCAAGCATATTTACACTGTACCACGCCATTGTTGAGACAATTTTCTTTTTTGTTTAAATAAAATAGTATAAATAATTCTGTTTTCATGTGGAAAATCTCAAATATATCAATATATCAAAAATACATTATTCCTAAAATAAGAATAAATATAACATCATAGAATTTAGATATGATTAAAAAAAAAAGGCGACATCAACTGTATAATAAAAATAATGATATTTGCAATTATAATCTTACCAGTAAATGAGTATACCCTAAGATGGTATCTATTCATATTTTTTTATTGCTGAAATCGGATTGATTTATCAACTGTTGCTTTTTTATCGCCCAGTTGCTAATATTTCATGCATATTCAGGAATTAACAATTAACAAATTAACAATTAATGCAAAAGGTAGGTTTTGTTAGGTAAGTCGACCAATAAGAAGGAACTTTAGACTTTGCCTTGTAACAGGTCACCATGGACCCCTCATAAGGTTGTTACAAGGGTTCTTCAACGTGCAGAGAGGGTGGCGCTCGAATGATATAATAAATCGGATTTATTTCCTCATTCCGACCGGACGTGACTGCTTGCGTATTCATACATCTTGCACAGCATAACAGACACCTCACTTTTGTAACAATTTTACTACCGGACTTGAGAAGTCCATGAATTAACATATTATCATAACAGTTCATTCTTGGGGTTGACAAAATCGGAGAGAATCTGTTAGCGTATCATTTAATATTTTGAAACGTGATAAATTTGAATGCAGAGGAAGATCCAGGGTATGCCACCCCTCCTTTTGTATGGCCGACAGTCTGTTTTCTTTTTAGTTCATTTTCTTGATCTTTGACTGCCGACAACCATCCCCCTGTTTTATTCAAATTTGTGTTGCAACTTCCTTTCGAATATTATAAATCCGCCACTGCACTAATAATATAAAATTTAATCATAGAATCGTTGAAAAAACCTCTACATGAATGTCGTCCGATTTAGAATAAAAGTATCAATCTAAGAAATAAACCGAAAGTAAAATTATTTATTTTTTTCTATAGTAAATGAGTCATTTATACGTGATATCACCAATATTTATAAGTTTTCGCACACAACTTCGCATTGCCAAACTTGAACTAAAAGTCGAAAAATTAATGCATTTATACCTCTCATCTTTTTTTAATATATTGAATGAATTCTTTCAAAATAGTATATTCAAAGCACGTCAAATCGACGGAAAATGTTCCTAAGCATGTCTTAAAGTAATGAAATCTCCAAAACTAATCGATATATTTGTCTTTAATAATGACTAGTGTTGCCACACACATTTTCTTTGATCACTAACTTTTTTAGACACTTATTTATCGTGTTGGTGTAGTGAAAAACGTCGAAACATCCCAGCGACGTCATGCTTTATTTTATATTATATAGACGTTTTTAAGGAATACACTACTGTGACTGGTGTAAAACGAAGACGGATACCCTATGAATATTTACATCATTTAAACAGAAATTCATCTGTGAACAATACACCGATTTATTTTTTCGGAGAAATCTATAGACTGAGTATTGGGAAAAGAGTTTTAAAAGATGAAAAAGTTTTCAATAGATTATTCGCGCATTCTTTAACAAAAGTTTACTCTTATAAAGGGTGTCCATTCAATAATATTTTAGAAAAAAATAACTTTTTAATATTCGTTTTCTCGATTTTTAGTTGTATGCAAAATTTGACAAAAGTCTGCAACATAGCCCATCTACTCTTATTTGACCTTAATATCGATAGATATATCAAAACTATATATTGTTCTGATTCACCAGATTGTTAAATTTCATTCACATGTGCCATTTCCACTCACCATTCTGAATGCAACATTTTCAAAAATAAACGAGATTGAAAAATCATTAGTTAACAAAAAATATCCTATATATTAAACTTAAAAAATTCATGGATTAGCACATCTTTTTAAATTTGATTGATTGATGTTTACTGAACGTCCGGTTGCAAATATTTCATGGATATTTAGTGTGAGAATACATTTACAATGCATCCAATAGACAAGTTCTGCAAAGAGTATCGACCGAGATGAAGGGTACAAATGTGGTCTACCACATGCATAAAAATAGCCTTACAATACGCCACCTCAGAATACCCCAAAGAACTGTTACAGCCCAGTAGTCAGCACTTATCATTGATATGATCATAATTATAAATTAACCGTTTACAAAACTTTGATTTTTTCGAAATACTAAGAATATTCAACCCCAGGAATAGATTACCTTAGCTTTATTTGGCAAAACCTTTCGGAATTTGGTTCGTCAATGCTCTTCAACTTCGTACTTTATTTGGCCGTTTTGAACTTTTTTATTTGAGCGTCACTGATGAGTTTTTTGTAGACGAAACGCGCGTCTGGCGTACAAAATGTTAGTCCTGGTATCTATGAAGAGTTTTTATGGATCTTATAATATGACACACTCCCTACACGAAGCATAAATTTTGCATTCCTCAATGCAGTTGGACGTGTCTGCGTATTTATATATCCCGTGGAACCAAATAAACACCCCTACGCATGATTTTACCGATTTGGCGGGAAAAGTCCATACGATCATATTTCTATACTCTAGTCAATTTGGAGTTGTTGTTCATTGATTGTCACATCATTTGGTAAACTTTGTAAACGGTGTTGAAGGTAATTTGCAGACGTATGTTTTTAATTAACAATTTAGCCCTGCGTTGGATAAAGCAAATGCCCTTTGAAGCAATCTGATGTTACATGTAAACTGATTATATAAAGTCATACATTGTAAGCTATAAAAAACTTTAAAATTACGTTGCAAAAAATAGTATTTCGAATTTGAATAAACAGAGATAGAGTACTAGTATACAAATTATGTGATATAATGTGTATTCAGGTATTAATGAATGTATACTCCAAATCAACGACTACAAATCAGTGACTGACTGTGTGCATGGACATTTTCAATCGATAAATTCATAAAACAACTTCAGTAAACCTTGCATTTCCTCAACAAACTTTGAATAGCATTATACTAAAGCAATTTTTAGAAACATATCATACTTACATTTAATATTGCATATTTGTCTTACTACAGCAGAGTCGATATCAATCTCGTACATTTGTGTTACTGTCGCACATTTTATACCTTCTATCGTGGTCTATGAGACAGTCCAGAATTTTATGAAGGAACCAATTGTCTATGTTTCGATGCTGTCTTGATTTTTAGAAAGACATATTTTGATTGTAAGCATCAGGTTTATGCTATTACGTACATCTACAATTGCTTGTTTTTGCTTTTTGCGAGTACTGTTTGAGGTTTAATGAACAGAGCTTACAATTCACTTTCAATGCTGTAACTGCAATTTAGATGTTTGCTGATTTTAACCAGAAGAAAATGTTAACCTTAGTCGGTTTTTAGCTGTTTCGTTTAGACAATTTTGACTTTTATGCTATAATTGTTTATACTTTTGGCGTTCCAAACTACGCACCGAAGTCATTAC